GGGATCTGCGTCCTTGGTTGAACAAACAAAAAACGAGTAGACTAATCATAAGCACATAAACAACTGTACACCCACACCAATATGATGATGTAATTAAAATGCTTTTCAAAGAAACACGACTCTCCGAGCTATGCCCAAATAAGGATCGCGTGAGCTGCAGTCTGCGAATACGGCCTCCAAACCACCTTTTTCGTCTGGTGGGGTTTCTTTCAATATGCATGTCTTTGTGCACGATTGCACGCTTCAGTTTTCCAAATATCACAACCTATCCATAGCTTCCTAAGTTATGATGGTCATAAAAGTATCTGAAAACACAGGCAAAAAAAAACAAAAACAAAAAAGAAACAGAATCACCCCCAAAATTTCCTTTCACGGAGACAATAAACAGCAATCAACCAACGTTAGATCAGCTTAAAACTTCTCTATTCAATCATCAAAAATATAATGCAGGCTAGGAAAACGAGCAAAATTACATAAACATTAAAAAGTCGAAATGTCGCAAAACAAAAGTCATTAAGATACTGATTTTTGGTCCAGAATCAATAGCATTAAGTTATATCAGTAGTCACTACAAGGACTGGGGTGGGGCGTCTACTGACAACAATGGACAAATGCTGGCTGATATAGTTGATAGGTACGGACTCTACCAGGCTCAACATCAGAGCACTAGGGTTACACCCACCAGTAATAGTGTCCTAGACCTAGTCATCCTCTCTGATCCTTCTAGAATTAACAAGATGTACACGTTAGCACCTGTAGGTACATCCGACCACTCGGTCGTGGTTTGTCAGCTTAACATGTATCTTCCCAAAAGCAGCGCCAAACGGCATGTCTGGCAGTATGCCAAAGCTGACTTCGACCGCTTCAGGTCGGAATTAGGCAAGGCAAATTGGTCCTCTGTCATGACAGGCAACATAGATGTTAGATGGAATGGCTGGAAGGATAAATTTCTCAAAATCTCGAAAAGCACAATTCCACACAAAACTGTTAAACTGACCCGTCGACAGCACAAACCCTGGATCACTGGTGAGTTACTGGACATGATCACACAGAAAGCTGACCTGTATCGACTGTACAAGTCAAATCCTACCCAAACAAACTGGAGCAACTACACACAATGTAAGAATGCCCTCACTACAGAACTGAGACGTGCTGAACGCGAGTATTATGGCTCCGTCGGTGACAGGATTAAGAATCCGGACGACTCAAAACTTCTGTGGTCGGTGTTAAACAGAGCCACCGGGAAGGGAAGGTCGGGTATCCCTGCACTTTCCAGTCAGGGGCGTACACATGACAAAGACAACGACAAGGCCGAACTTCTTAATAACATATTCGTTCAGACCACCAAGGACAGTACCCATCCAGACTACATGAAGAGGCTCCCGAAGTTCACACAAAATGAACTCAGCACCATACAACTGTCGGTCGAGGAGGTCTACAATGTCCTACACGGCTTGCGTGCAAACAAAGCCCCCGGCCCAGATGGCATACCGAATCGCCTCCTGAAGGAAGCAGCACCAGTAATTAGTGCATCCCTGTGCGAGTTGTTCAACTTCTCACTCGCGACCGGCCACTTCCCAAGAGAGTGGAAACAGTCCAACATCTCACCAGTCCACAAGAAGGGAGATAAGACAGATCCCAACAACTACCGGCCCATTGCCCTTCTGCCAACAGTCGCGAAAGTTCTTGAGAGGCTTGTGCACAACAGGCTCTACAAGTATCTTACGGACAACAACCTCCTGAACCACAAACAGTCTGGCTTTAGGAAGGGGGACGGAACCGTTCTTCAACTTCTCCGTCTAATCGACGACTGGGGAAAGTCGATAGATGACCCCAACGTTGCCTGCACTGCTGCGGTGTTCCTGGACGTGAGACGTGCCTTTGACACCGTATGGCACGACGGCCTGATCTATAAACTATCCCGATACGGAATCAGCGGCCCACTCTGTAACTGGTTCTCTGGCTACTTATCAAACCGCCAACAACGCGTGGTCATCAACGGTGTGGCTTCTTCCTGGGGTTCTACAACAGCTGGCGTACCGCAGGGGAGCATCCTTGGGCCTTTGTTGTTTCTGATATATCTAAATGACATCCAAGAGTTACCCAGCAAATCCAGCATCAATTGCTTTGCGGACGATACCTCTTTGTATAACTCCGGACGCACAGCCGTTGAAGTGGCCAACACGACCAACGCTGACCTGTGTATTGTCTCCAACTGGTTCCATGACTGGGGGTTGCAGCTGCACCCCGACAAATGCAAAGTCATGTGTATCAGGACACTCCAAAGTAAAGTGAAACTACCACCTATCTACATAGCAGGCCAGCGCGTTGAAGAGGTGACCTGCTACACACACCTAGGTGTTACAATACACTATACACTTCGCTGGAAGGAACACTCAGAAGTGGTCTGCCGCAAGTCGAGGCAAGTACTAGGGCTGCTGGGCAAACTCCAAAGCAAGCTACCTCGTGAAGCCATGGAGATTGCGTACAACACTCTCGTCCGCACCAAGCTGGAATACGCGTCCGTCCTCCTCAGCAACATCAGCTCCACGGCAGCTAAATCCCTTGAGCAAGTCCAGTACCATGCGGGGCGCCTCGTCTCAGGTGCAATGGCACGCACGCCTCATGGCAAGCTCCTGGAAGAACTGGAGTGGGATAGTCTCGCAACCAGGAGAGACTTCAACCGACTCCTGATCATGTACAAACTGGTATCAGGTTCTGTCCCATCCCACCTCCAGCTCTTAATTCCCACCACCAGAGACAGCCGAAGACAACTGAATCTCCGCCTACGGAACGATACACATCTGCATGTTCCTTACTGTAGAACAAACACCTACGGAAGCAGCTTCGTTCCATATACCACACGTCTATGGAACAATCTTCCGAAGGAAGTGAAGGAAGCCACATCTCTCCTCCAGTTCAAACAGAGGTGTAGAGCCCACATGTTGTCATCCCGTCACCACCAGGGGTACCGTAGGCTCGGTGACCGCCGCAGCAACATACTTGCCACGAGACTCCGCATCGGCTGGTGCCAGCTTAACTCCACGCTGGCCAAGTTTAACCTTACCGGCCGGGGATGTGCCTGTGGTGCAACCTCGGAGACAGTCACACATTTCCTCTTGCACTGCCCACTGCACGCAGCGGCACGACAAGACCTTGCCACTGCTGTGTACCGCCTCGTGAGACGGCCCCTCTCCACCAGCGTTCTACTCAATGGGTCCCCGGGCAATGGACATCACATTAAACGAAAGGCCTCTCACACTCCTTCCACACTTACATCACTTCAACAAACCGTTTCTAGGCACTTCCAGCTGTTCCTTTCTAACCTTGTTATTTAGTATCCTTTTTTTCTCATATAAGGTAGTCTGACTGTGACTTATTTTATCGACCTCTGACCTCCAAATGTGTTATTTTAGATGTGTACATATATTTACTCGGCTAATTGGAATGATATAGGTTCTTATGATCATTTTTTTTTTGTAATTTCACACTGTTGATATTATGTGCCCTATATGTTTTGTCTTTATGTGTTGACTCTCTAACATCAGCTTTGCTGCCTTGAGAGTCAGTGTAATGTCTTGTTGCATTTTCAATAAATAAATAAATATCAGTAGTCAAATTGCAATGGTCTGCTAGAGATAAAAGTTATCCCATTGGCTCATAGAAATGTTCAGTTTTTCACATTAAAAAAAATGTTTCTTTTTCTACCACACTTATGAGTCTCGCAAACTGAGTCAGTTTCCTTGCATGTAGGTTATATAACGTTAATGTTAGGACTATATGGCATTTAGGAGGATTGTCTATTTGACCCGTGTTTTGTCTAAATCTCTCAGTGTAGTTGTTGACGGTTCCGGCCAGTGTTTTACATTTTGTAACTTTAAGAGGATATCCCGACATATGCTGTCATTCACACATACATTGAGTAAGTACAAAAATTGCTTAAGCTTACTAAACGAAATTCAGAATCCACGATACTATGGCATCCAGCACGTTGTCTCTGTAGGAATTTACTCTCCATACGACCATGCGTTTTTTCTTGCATTTGCTGGCCAATGTCCAATCCAAGTTTTTGTTCGCTCGTTCGAATTCATCTCGTCTCGTCTCATCTCAATCTTTTGTTTTCAAATATGTTATAGTACATCTTTTTGTTGCATTTCCTATAACATATGTAAACATAGAAATATGCATACTAATTCTACTGCTACATAAACATATTTATACATAATGCTTTCTTCATTTCGTACTTCATTTTCATGCATTGATATTTTCATAATTAAGCTTGATCGAACCTCAAGGTATTGCTACAGCATTTTCACTATTTGCAGTTAAAGTCTTTGTCACTCTCCCATGTGTCGATTTACAGGTTGTGGTAGGAAATTGGGAGATTCTTTGTGCATGAATTTGTGATACAAAATCTTAACTCTAAAAGAATGCATCAATAAGACGAAATGTCCTAAATCTGAAGTCGAGAGAAATATTTCACTTATATATACGGTACAGTTTGTACTAGTTTCAGATGTTTTTCCTCAGCTTTTAATACTAGGACTTCACCATCATGTTTTATAAGTCCAGAACTCTAATAATCCGAGAAGCTAACACACAAGATACATGATAAAAACACACATGAATGTTTTATCATTCTCCATTACTTCTTAAAAAACCAACTTGTTCTATAATTTCAGAACTCTAATCATCCAAGCAACTGCATGATAAAAATATTTCACATGTAGGTCCTGTCATGCTCCAGTACTTCGAAAAAAGTATAAGTCAACTATACAGGCAAATTTAGAATTTTACACTCGTTGTTCATTGCCTGTTTCTATATGTTTTACATACGGAATACTCATTTTCAATTTGCTCCAATAAACTCCATGTATGTACGTTGTTGGTTTGTACAAGCATAGCATAGATCTAAATCTATGTTTGTTTCAACAACAACAAAAAAACATAAAATTTTTATAAGCCTACTGCAGTCCTCTTAAAAAATACATGACCAAGAAATCGCCAGTGACTTAACAAAAACGCGACGTCAGGGATTGAGCAGATTGTGTCGCGTTAAAGTCGCATTATTACATTGGTTTCTCGCAGACGTAGGGGTAGTGGTGGCCGCATTTGGCGTTGTTCCACTGTCCTTGATACCTCGTTCTGCCACCAAACCAATTCTTGCCGGTCTGTTGAGAAAAGATACAGTCATTGTTGAACATTAAGATAATTGTTGAATTGATTTTCTGCAGTTGAATTTCTTTGCACATACACATACACATACACATACACACACACATACATGTACACATACATGTACACATACACATACACATACACATACACATTTGTTTGTTTCGCAAAACCGGTAAACCTCCTTTTTAGGTGTAACACACCAGTTTTGCACATGTCAGTACAAGCTACGTAAGACCGGACTGTAAGGTTTGAACCACTCACACCGGAAAGGTCCCCTACCCTTTACTCCCTTCGATAGGTGCGGTGCGGTTCTTTAACGTGCGTGGGGTGTGGCTCTCCCCAACACGGGACCTATTTAACGTCCTATCCGAGCGACGTCCCTAACTGAAGCTAGGTACTCATTTACACCTGAGTGAAGTGAAAAAAGTCGTGTAAAGTGCCTTTCCCGAAGGGCACAAGATCGGTGACATGGGCATGATTCGAAGCCGGGACCTCTTGGGTCTGAGCCAAACACTCTACCGTTACGCCACATGACCCCACATTCAATTGACCCAAAACAATTCTTATTTGTAGCATTTACCATGATAAACACCATACAATAGTTAGAGCAATCGACTGTGAACCGGGAGACCCGGGTTCGATTCCGAGTCGTACCCGGGACATGTCTGAACATGCGCCCCGACGTTGTGCCCTTGGGAAAGGCACTTTACACGAATTTCCTCACTCCACCCAGGTGTGAATGGGTACCTAACTTCGGTTGGGGAAAGTCGTATTGAGGTCACCTTGTGGCGCCGAATGGCAGCCGCACAGACCCTTGCGACTGTGTGTATCATTTGTATTATTTGAATGTTGTAATTGTTGTGATTTGTATTGATTATTATATACCCTGCATCAATTCAGCCGTAAGGCTGCGACTGCACGGGTACTGTTTGGACAATAAAAACCATTTATTATTATTATTATTATTATTATTACACAGTTGACCAACCTCCTCATCCATAACCCATATTACAAGTAACAAAATAGTCTCATTCAGTTATACATTTCTACTTGTTGTTTGATTCAAAAAGGTTATGATCTTTAAACTGCGCACAATGAATATACCACTGAGCTTTCGGCCACATTGATAGAAAAAAGAATGACAGACGTCTGACCTTGAAATACATGCTGCCACAGTCCTCCTTTATGATGAGGCGGTGATTAGGCTCGCCCGGAGCCCAGTTGCTGTAGCCAACACGTGATCGATCTGTCCACATCCATTGCCCAGTTGGTTTAAACAGTCCCAGCCAGACTAACGGATATTTACCTTCAGGTGCTACAATCAAAGAAAGCAGTCTTAGATGTACATATGCATGTTTGGTATATTTAAAAATCAAGCTCATTCAACTACTGCTATGGTCAGGGGTAAACATACATTAATATAATTCTCTAAGGTTAGATATGTCGCCACCCTGAAAAATGCATCTTAATAGATCTGAAATGCAACCTGTCCATGCTTGGTCAACTTTGGTCTCCAGAGTCAAAAAGGAGGATTGGTCGTCCAATCACAACACTTAAGGGTCTTATTCAGTCTGGCACTGCTCTGCAAGGATTGGAACTTTTGTCCGCAATGATAGACAGAAAGTACTGGCGACAAAACTTCACATGCTGCACCTCAGAAGAGGATGAGTAAAGAAGAAGAAGAAGAAACCTGCCCATGTATAATGCACTCGTGTTCATCTAAACTACGCATGCATGGGGTGCTGCACTACAGATCTCTCAAACACACTGCTTTTCGAAATCAGGTATCTGTATGTATACAACCCTGGGACAAATAGAGTCAATGTAATGATAAAAGACAGTATGCATGGTTAAAACAATGATTGCCGTTGGTTTAAACGAGACAGGTGCATGTAGGATAAACATTTCTTGAAGGTCTACTAAGACAAATTAGTAGAAAAAAGACTTATTAGTTATATTATGTTACATTTCAAGTAAACAAAAGAGACATCAAGTTTTTAGCGGTCCCTTTTTCCAATGACAGAAGCACTAAGAACCCTATCTATAAGTATCACCTTGATGGCACTGTTAGTATTTGCTTCGAGTCCATTTGAATGGATAGCTGCAAAGTCTTTAAGATTCATAAATACTGTAGAGTTACATGTCACCCACCATTTGAATGGGTACCTGCAAAGTCTTTAAGATTCATAAATACTGTAAAGTTACATTTCACCCACCATTTGACTCTACAAAGTCTTTAATTAAGTTTCATAAATACTGTAAAGCTACATTTCACCCACCATTTGAATGGGTAGCTGCAAAGTCTTTATGATTCATAGATACTGTAAAGTTACATGTCACCCACCATTCTTGATGAGGCCTTTAATGAAGTTGTTCTCGCCCGCGTCTTTGATGGCGGCCAGAATTGCACCGTGGTTTGCACATCGTGATTTCGCTTCAGACCAATGGACTTTGTCTCTCATCAGCTTGTAGCAGCGGTTGTTACGTTCGCTCCATCCAGTCTGACATCGTAGGGCTGTCGAAGAGTGAAAAAAATCATACTAATTTGCCTTGATTTCACACAACGTGTAACGTTATGTGTGTTAGTTATGAAGAATTTGATTTCTCACTGAGACAACTTTGAAAAATGAAAGTTTTCAATCGATGTACAAATGGTTTTGATTCAGTGGGAATAAACCATATACACAGCCACCATTGCATATAAAAGGAAATACATCACTGCATCAAAGTAAAAGGTAAAACATTACATTAGAGCCTTGACCCGTAGCCCTCCTTCCCTGATTTGCATTATCTTGTCTGGACTTGTCTGATTTTTGTTCCCTTTTCGACTTCCAAAAATAATTTTCTTCAATTTATTTGCATATCAGTCAATAGTTTGTGCTTAGAAACCTGCATTTCTATTCTGGTCTCTCAGTCGTTGACGAAAGCTAGTGGATCATAGCTGAAACGTCTGACCAAAATCAGATCCAGTTGCTTGAGCAAATGCTTTTTGGCGCAGAATATGTTTGACCTGTCCCTGAGGTGTCGCCAAAACAGATAAATGACAGGTAAAGGGCACAGCACAGTAATAGGGCTTTCCTATGTTAATATATGGGAATTATGTCAAAACAACGTGGTCAAAATTCATATACCTGACCTTTAGACCTTGAAGAACATACATTGGCAGGGTAGGCCAACCTCTCAAGTCTCCATTCCCAAAAAATGAAAAAATCATACGCACCTAAACCATGTGAGAATTCTACCCGAACATTGAGACGTGACCCCTGACCTCTCTGGACAGCTGATGACCGCATGTAAGCCTATATCTTCTTCAGTCAGCCAGAGAACACAAACATGGCTGCAAGTCTGTTTTCTCACCAAAATGAAAATACTACAACCCTCACCTATAACATCCAAGTCCAAAACAACAACATTTCCCTAGAAAAAGACTTCTTTACACTCTACATTACATTGCCATCTCTATATACTAGAACTGGGCCCTCTGCGCCTGCGCTATTACTGACCTTTGCCCTAAATGACAAACTTGAAAGACATAATGGTGGCGCACTCAAGTTTTCGCAGTTATATTAGCGCCACCACTATACAAGACTTAAAAAAAGATAAAACTGAGGTACAAATCTATGTTAACCGCCCACATACTGATATTCTATCAGAAATTCCTGTAGAATTCCTAGAATTCCTGTTACTGATTACACACTATTACACACTTATCGCCCCTAGAGCACTGACAAAAGAACTCACCTTGGTGACAGTACCTTCCAGTCCATCCAGATGAGCAGGCACATCTGTATCCGCCATTTGTGTTCACACAGCGTCCATGTTGACATGGGTTTCTGGTGCACTCATCTATGTCTGTGTGATAAAGGAAAGAAAATGTACGTAATTTGTTCAACATTTCACATAACACCTAACCCCAATACCTTAATTTTTCATGAAAGGAGGAAACAAAATGTATGATTGTATATCCTTAGAAAAAGAACAGCTTAAAAATGACTACATAACAAGAACTCACCTTGCTGACAGTTCTGCCCAGTTCATCCAGATGAGCAGGCACATTTGTATCCGCCATATGTGTTCTCACAGCGTCCATGTTGACATGGGCTTCCGTTGCACTCATTTATGTCTGTGTGAGAGAGACAGAAAATAAACATCATTCCAGCTTGAATCTAGGGTCCGAGAAAAGATAAAAATGGTACAGAGACGTGCCTTATACATATTGACCTAGCTGACTACCACTACAACAAAACTCACCTTGCTGACAGTTCTGTCCAGTCCATCCAGGTGAGCAGGTACATTTGTATCCACCATCTTGGTCCTCACAGTGTCCATATTGGCAGGGGTGTTTGGTACACTCATTCACGTCTGTGTGAGAAAATACACGAAAAAACTAGAAAGGCCAATATTTGCTTTGGAGCAAATACAGCGATGGGTTCACCACATTTTACCACATGGCAGGGAAAGAATGAGAAACACAAGGGAAAACAATGATTTAGTTTATTTACATTGATATAACTATAATATGAAGTAACATACAACTAAAACAACAGTTGGATAGCTATTCCCTACTTTATTGGTTAGGATTTTTAATTGCATAATGCAAACTGTTGATTTTCAAAATAAAATAAAAAACGTTCATGCCCCGCATTCCAATGCTGGAGCAGAAAAGCTTGAAATACCTACCAAAACACTTGAATAAAGACATACTGTCAGTATGGAAATGCTCTGTGCAGGTGTTAATCAAGTTAAATCCCAACAGCCAATCAGCAAGAAATGCTCTGTGCAGGTGGAAATGCTCTGTGCGGGTGTTAATCAAGTTAAATCCCAACAGCCAATCAGCAAGAAGTATAGAGGAAAGCTGCATGCCTATTGGTTGATGCCCTGCATTCCATTGTGATGACTCATGCCCAGACGTGGTAAACAGGCACACTAACACAGTAATACATTTGCTATAACACAGCCAAAAAACTCAAATAAAACCATTCTAAAAGCCTGTATCACAAAAATTTAAAAAACGCCTAGGGGTATTTGCCCACTGTACCTCCATACCAAATTTCAGGACCTTAGGCCCTAAAATGAAGAAGCTGAATCCATTTAAAGATATGGCAGGAGGAGGAGGAGGAGAAGGAGGAGAAGAAACATCAGAAAAAGCAATATGGGTTCACCACCACTTCGTGGTGTGGTGAACCCATACTTAGTATAAAAGCCACAAGACAAAAAAAAAAAGACAAAAGACAAAAAAAAAATGTTGGGGTATCCGCGGGGCCTTCTTGGGATATTGTAACATTGCTTACCGGTGGTTGACTGAGGTGTGGCAGTTGTTGGTAAGGCAGCCTTAGCGGTCACATCGCTTTTTGTGAATGGCAAATACGTTGGAGTCGACTTGACCACTATGAACCCGTCAAATGCTGAGTAGTTTTCTCCGTAGATCTCCATCGTGCCATTTTGCTGCAAAGCCACCTACAACCGGAAGCGTAACTTTGAAAAATGAACACAAGGTACCTAATGAAGTCCAACTCAGGGGGGTGTACACTAATCTCAAAGCAGTTGTTTCTTGGCCGCAAAAGACAGTATCAAATTGGCCAGTTAGTGTCCATAAGCCAGACAGTATCCATCCTAATGGACATCTCTTTGGCCAATGGATACTACCTTGCCACCGTATGATCTGCTTTGAGATTAAGTGTACACATAACAGCATCCCTTGCAATACACATTCAACAACACACATTTCAGCCGGCTAACTGTAAGCAACAAGCTCGTAGACCTGTCATGTTATCTTTGACAGCAGCAGCATTAGAGTACCTGACTATTATAACTAATGTACAGCCTTTGAGATTGTTTGCTAAACACTAAAGTTGACTAAACACAATATTTACTTCAAATAGTAGTTTATCAAACTACAGTGCTAATTCTGCAAACACTTCTGATTGATGATTTGGTACCCTAGGTATACCCTTTGTTTATCAGAAAAACAAAATCATATTTGTTAGGAATTATTGTTAACAATATCAACAATCATTTTCTTCACTTCCCTATGCCTTTGGTGCATTTTTGTTCTTCAGTTGCACAAAGGGTAGGATATCAACAACACTCGGCTAGATGAAGCAAACTCTTAAAAAGGCTATTTTTCTTTGCAGGCTGTCCTGTAAACAAGACTTCTCAGCTTACCCTCCCACCGTGGGTGATATGAGTTGCCAGGATGACAGAGATGACAACTGACGATACGGCCAGAAGTCCACAACCCAGTGTAAGCCAGTACACTCTGCTAGATTTGCATTTATTCCATATTCCGACGATAAGCCCTAACACATAGAATATCTATTATTGCATATATTATGCATTGTTTCAGGTACGAGGGTCATTTTAACACTGTTAATTAACAATGAGCCCAACCTTATTCTTTTTAATATATTCTAATTGTTTATGACCATTAATTACTTAACTTATAAATAATTAATGGTAATAGACAATTTATGATTTTATACTAATAATACATTTACGTTTTTTCATGAACAATATCAGAATATTTAAAAAAAGAATAAGGTTGGGCCCGTTTGATGTGATCCAGCAAGACCAAACTTCCCGGGTATAACTTCTAAAGCAATGAGCCAATACCGGTGAAATGTATAAGATATTATTAGACATATTGATTAAACAAACTCATGTTAGGATTTTTTTTCAAATCAAAAATGTGGAAATGACACATATCAATATACGTATGACCTTCCAACGGATGAGGATTATGAATATGCAAAATCATGATTATCAGAAACACAAATAAACAAGAAACTAGCCATTCATCAGAGCATAAAATACGCCAACAAGCAGAATCTTCAATACTATTACTGCAAAACACTTATTTCTGAAGCTGGTTTCTTTAAGCTTTTAATATGTATATCAATGTCCATCAATAAAGGTAAGGCATGCAGGTAATGAAATTCACAAGTTTAAGAAAGCTGTCAACATAAATTAGAAATTTTACTAAAAGTCTATCCAATTGCCAATCCATTGAGAAAAATAGATTTAAAAATGAAGTGACAATGATTATTTTGAATGTTGTATTCAATGCGTTAATGGTAACGTACCTTTAGCCCTGCATGCAAAGCTTTTTTCCTCGGGATCTTTGTACCCGTAAACATCCTCTGGTTTGTCGTAGTCGTGTGAGTAATGATTTTCCTCAAACCCCTCGTAAGTGTGGACATCTTCTGGTTTCTCGTAGTCGCGGTAGTAATGGTCTTCCTCACATCCCTCATTGACTTCCTCAGCCTCTTTGTACCCGTAAGTATCTCCTGATTCCTGCCCCGAATACACCACTACGTGATCTCCCACGTGAAGGTATCGAGGCTCGGCCACGGCAGGTTGTAGGTCGGTGTAGTTGCTAGTAGCGGTGCCGTACAGCCCAGCGGCCGCCTCTTTTCCGATGATCGTCTGGTTGTAGGCTTGCTTCCCGCGATTGACCGCCTTGCTTCGGTTTTTGTTATCTCCCCCAATGTTTTTTTCAGGGACGGATGGTACTTCTTCTTTTACGTGCTGGGCATTTTTACCAGAGGGTTGGCGTTCAGGTTCTGGGTTGGTGTAGTTGCCAGGTGCGGTGCCATACGGGCCGGCGGCCGCCTCTTTTCCCGTGATCGTCTGCTCGTAGGCTTGTTTTTCACGATGGGCGGCCTTGCTTTGGATTTTGGAATCTCCCCCATTTCCCTTTTCGGGGATGGAGATTGTATCGGTTGTCGACATTCCTACGTATAACAAACAACAGGGGGTTCGTGATCAGAACTAATCGTTTTTTTTTATTCATTCACATAGAAAGAGGTACAGGACATGGTGGTGCCGCACTCAAGTGGAAAGTACTTATGTTGACGGCACCACTGAAATAAATACATATAATAAAGAAAAAAAACGCAACTTTAAGACAGGCAAAAAACAGTAAATACAGGGAATTCAAGAGCACAGGTCCGGTTCCCCACCCAATGATAAATGATGGCAAAGAGGACACAGCACATAGATAACAAAGGGGGAAATTGAAATCTTTTAAAAACGTTCTGATGTGGTGATGAAGTTTTGAGTAAGTGATAATATATTGAACAACTAATCGTTGTTTGCAAAGCTCTACACACGTGCACATTTTATACCCATTTCTTTTGTACCATGTTCACATATACTACATATTATTAAATGTAACATCCATCCATAGCTTTTTTTAGTTATGTTGTTAATGCTTGGTTAAATCATACACACACACACGCACGCGAGCACGCACGCACACACACACACACACACACACACACACGCACACGCACACGCACACGCACACGCACACGCACACACACACACACACGCACACGCGCACGCACACACACACACACACATTTTCCAAATCAAGGCACTTGGCTCTGTCATGGCAGCCAGTAAAAGAGTTCCAAAAAAAAAAAGGATTCTTGTCACACAACAACCAGCCGGTCTCTACAACTAGTAGCGTGTTTAGTCTATCGCGGTTGGGGCGGGTTCCCCTTGGGGCTGCAGGAGCTCTTCACCGCCCGATTCAGCTAGGCTCTCCGGTAGGTTTGGCACGACGGGAGTTCAATTAGCATCACCACGCTTGGGGATAATCAACTCCTGGCGTATAAAACTCTCGTATTGGCAAAGGTCCTCGGCGTGTAGCCTGCGTGCCTGACCCTGGCGTTTCATAAAGTTTAACATCTTATGAAATAAAGACTGAACTTTAACTTCCAACACAGGATATAGAATTGGGACTTACCCCAATTCTATATCTAGTGTTGGAAGTTAAAGTTCAGTCTTTATCTCATAATGATTTGTACCAACACAGATGAACTTTCATGCAAAGTTAAACATACTTGATTGACCGGGTGGCCTGTTGAACTCGACGGGGGAAAGTCTTAGAGCCCCGAAGACAGCCTGTCCCAACTACGATAACCTGGATACCAGGCTATACAGCCAGCTGCCGTCTGTTCAGCACCACGGCTACAAGGGTGGGGTCGTGTGGCGCAACGGCAGCGTGCGCGACTCGGAATCAAGCGGTCCCGGGTTCGAGTCCTGACATGCCACCGATCTTGTGCCCTTGGGAAAGGCACTTTACACGACTTTCCCCACTAACTCAAGTGAAAATGAGTATTGTCTGTCCAGTATTTATTTCTATGTGGGACACAACACCAGCAACAGCTGCCTCTGTTCCCCGTGTATTGCATTGTTGCAATTTCAATAAATCAAATCAATCAAATCAAATCAAGTTACGCCAGCAAGAATGTATACAGACAATTGGTATGGAACCAAAAACAAACGCCCAGAAAAAGCGTACAGATCAATCTTACTCTGGAACAGTCTACCGCATGTCTAATCTGCAACCAAAAGCAATTTTCAGCAGGCCTCCAGGAGCTACTTGTATTGTGTAAAACTTTAAATTGATCTGTCATGTGTTGTGACTCTTTTAACAAAGTCTCTGCCAGGAAGAATAGCTTTGTAGACAAATGTGTATAAAGCTAATGGAGAAATAAAGTATCCAAGTATCACGTCCTCAAATATTCACGGAAAAAAATATGTGCAGTGGAATTTGGCCTAAAAATCAAACCAAGATGACATTTGGTATGGTGTCTGCTCAATGGAGTAGAAGAATAAGAACCAAACTAATAGTCGTTGCCAGGGAGGGAAGATGTAGGCTAGGTTTGCTCGGGCGCTGTTAACTTCTCCCCCGCCTGGCAAATGAGCCCTACCCGGTGATTTTTTCCCGAAGAATAGCAAACTAGCCAGCTAGCTGTAGCTCTGGGGGAGACTAGTGGCTAGAGTAAAGAAAAACAAGGCCCATGAATTCATGAAATAGCAAAGCAACAACCTGTAGGAGGAAATATGATAACTAGAAATAGAAGTACCTTAGTTTGTTGGCTGACAACGCTTGCAACAGAACATCTCGAAATGGTGGATGTCTGCGTGGCTGTTGTGATTTATACGTTATCTATAGCAAAGGTTACAGACGTCATACATGAACTTACATCCAGACAAATCGTCCCTGGCAACGAAAGACACAACCAGACTAATCAGAAGCATATGAAACAACTGTACACCCTCTGACATTCGGTCTGAAGAAGACTAGGACTTAGCACAAAAAGACCATGACACTCACACCGATGGTTTTTGATGTTATTCAAGTGACTCTTGTCCAGGACATTCTACAAAAGTATAATGTCCTTGCTCGTGTCAGAATTCTTAGTTTGAGAGCTAAGTTTTCTTTGACAAGAGCAAGGACATTCTACAAAAGTATATTGTCAAAGAAAACTTGGCTCTCAAACTAAGAATTCTGAGAAAAATGCCTCCAAAGCACTTCACTTTCAAAGTGGCTGTGAGGATTTTAGTTCTTAATATACATGTCTTCGTATATGCATATGATTGCACGTTTCAGGCTTGGGTGTAATTTCTCTCTTTGTCTCTCTCTGTCTTACTCTCTCTCTCTGTACATTTGTATGTTCGTGCACGTGGGTTTTTGTTGTTGAATAAACCATTCTCTCCCAAAATCCTTTAAGCTACGGGTTGAACTTTAAAGGTGAAAAAGTGCTTTGGATGCCTTTTTCTCAGAATTCTGCTCAAGCGATCCTTATTTGGGCATTCTTCTAGAGCTAAGTTTCTTTGACAAGCGTCACTTGAATGACACCAAATGTCATCGGTGTGTGTGTGTGTGTGTCATAGTCTTTTTGTGTTAAGTCCTAGTCTTTTTCAGTTTGACTGTCAGAGGGTGTACAGTTGTTTCATATGCTTCTCTGATTAGTCTGGTTGCGTCTTTCGTTGCCACGGACGATTTGTCTGGATGCAAGTTCATGTATGACGTCTGTAACCTTTGCTATAGATAACGTATAAATCACACCAGCCACGCAGATATCCACCATTTCGAGATGTTCTGTTGCAAGCGTCGTCAGCCAACAAACTAAGGTACTTCTATTTCTAGTTATCATACTTCCTCCTATAGGTTGTTTCTCTTATATTTCATGGGCCTTGTTTTTCTTTACTCTAGCCACTTGTCTCTCCAGAGCTACAGCTAGCTGGCTAAATTGTTATTCTCGGGCAAAAATCACCGGGTAGGGCTCATTTGCCAGGCGGGGGAGAAGTTAACAGCGCCCGAGCATACCTAGCCTACATCTTCCCTCCCTGGCAACGACTGTTAGTTTGGTTCTTATTCTTCTACTCCATTGACCAGACACCATACCAAATGCCATCTTGATCTGATTTTCAGGCCAAATGACGCGAAAATAATTTTACCGCACAAATTTTTTCCCGTGAATATTTGAGGACGTGATAGTTGGATACTTTATTGATCGACAAGGTGGGGTAGAAGTCAACAGCGACTGAGCCTACGAATCCTAACCTGCATATTTCCTGCAGGCACGACTGTTACTTTAGTTCTTCTTCTAGTCTATTCCAAGCACCAGACCCATTTCGAAAGATCTCTTCGTTTAATGTACGGTCAAATGACGCGAATTTGTTACCGCAGATATCTTTTCCTGTGGAAGGACGCGTCCTTACATTTTAATACATGAGGACTTGAATACTTTGAATACTGGCTGAGATTTAAAAAAAAACACACACACAAACAAACACAATATAAGACAGATCAAGTGTGCATGCGTGTGTGTGTGTGCGTGTGTGTGTGTGTGCGTGTGTGTGTGTGTGTGATATACATGGATGAATGTTACATTGAATAATATAGTAGTATGTGTGTGGAGCAGTTCTGATCACGGACCCCCTGTTGTTAAACTTAGGAATGGCGACAACCGATACAACCTCCATCCCTGAAAAGGGAAATGGGGGAAATGCCAACATCCAAAGCAAGGCCGCCCATCATGGAAAGCACGCCTACGAGCATACGATCATAGGAAAAGAGACGGCAGTTGGCCCCCATGGCACCGCACCTGGCATCTACACCAACCCGGAACCTGGACACCAACCCTCTGTCCCCAACATATACACCCCAGCTCCCACACGTGGTAAAAATATCAAGCACGTAAAGGAAGAAGTATCCTCCGTCCCTGAAAAAAGCATTGGGGGAGATAACAAAAACCGAAGCAAGGCCGCCCATCCTGGAAAGCACGCCTACGAGCAGACAATCATCGGAAAAGAGGCGGCCGCTGGCCCGTATGGCACCGCCGCTAGTATCTACACCAACCCGCAACCTGCCGCGGCCGAGCCTCGATACCTTCGCGTGGGAGATCACGTAGTAGTGTATTCGGGACAGGAATCAGGAAAAGATTGCGGCTACCGAGTCGCTGAAGAAGTCAGCAAGGGGTACGAGGAAGACCATTACTACAGCGACTACGAGAAACCAGAAGATGTCCACACTTACGAGGGGTTTGAGGAAAATCATTCCTCACACGACTACGACAAACCAGAGGATGTTTACGGGTACAAAGATCCCGAGGAAGAAAGCTTTGCATGCAGGGCTAAAGGTACGTTATCATTAATGCATTGAATACAACATTCAAAATCAACATTGTCACTTCATTTTTAAATCTATTTTTTCTCAACGGATTGGCAATCGGCTAGATTTTGAGTAAAATTTCTAATTTATGGTAACAGCTTTCTTAAAATTGTGAATTTCATTACCTACATGCCTTACCTTTATTGATGGACATTGATATACATATTAAAAGCTAAAAAAATCAGCTTGCCGAAATAAGTGTTTTGCAGAAATAGTAGTAAAAAGTCCTGCTTATTGGCGTATTTTATGCTCTGAGTCGCTAGTTTCTTGTTTTTCCGTGTTTCTGATAATCATGATTTTGCATACTCTTAATCCTCATCTGTTGGAAGGTCATACGTATATTGATATGTGTCATTTCCACATTTTTTAATTTGAAAGAAATCCTTCCATGAGCTTGTTTATTCAATATGTCTCATAATATCTCATGCGTTTCACCGGTCTTGATTCATAATGCCTGTACACAACTACAGTTCTCTGGTTTTGTTCATGATTCATAATCATGATTTTGCATATTCTTAATCCTCATCCGTTGGAAGGTCATACGTATATTGATATGTGTCATTTCCAAATTTTTAATTTGAAAAAAATCCTACCATGAGAGTGTTTATTCAATATGTCTTATACATTTCACCGGTATTGGCTCATTGCTTTAGAAGTTATACCTGGGAAGTTTGGTCTTGCTGGATTACATCAAACGGGCCCAACCTTATTCTTTTTTGATATATTCTGATATTTTTCATGAAAAAACATACATGCATTATCAGTATAAACTCATAAATTGCTTATGATCATTAATTACTTATAATAACAATGTCAAAATTCCCTTCGTACCTATAATAATATTATATTCAATAATATATATTTCTCCATTTTTTTCTTATTTTTATTTCTCTATGCTGATTTTGTTTCAAGTTTGTCATAATTTCAGCATAATTTGTATGTTTTCTTTAATCATTATTGCTAAAAGTAGAGTCGATTCCGCGTCACCGAGTGGGTTTTTTCTCCATGTTTCTAATATGTTTGAATTATTTAGAAGAAAAGAATACCCTAGTAACAAAAGTTCTAAATTTTTCAAAAATTTGAAAATGAAAATTTGAATATATTTGAATTCATTTATATATTTCTGAAACATTTTGAAAGTGACTGTACAAAGACCTCTTTATTTAGAATAAATTTGAACTACCCATTTGTTTCTTTCACTATTCGAAATATTTAGAACTATTTCAAACAAATGAAAAATGGTAGATGTGGGTAATTGCCCCCATGAAAGTAGGTGCTAATCCTACTCTTCTGTATTCTTCTGTATATTTTTAGATTTCACTGCTGGACACTGGTGGCTCTTTTGTTGTAAGGCATCAATGCCTGACACCCAGGCAGTCTACCCTGTACTTCACAGGGATGTGTGAATTACTTCCTTCCCATCCCACTGACCTATTTACAAAATGTTAGAAATAATTCGAAATAATGGTAAAAAATGGTAGAGTGCTGTTAGAAATATTTAGAAACTATTGGAAATGTCATAATCCACATCTGGAATATTTCAAACGTTTTAGAAAACCAAGGAATTATTTAGAATATTGACAAGATGTTCAAAATATTTCCAAATTATGAAATTTCTTAGACAAACAATTACAAGGAATTCAAAACATTTCTAAATAATGACAATAACAACCCACTCGGTGACGCGGAATGGACTCTAATTATTATTATTATCATTATTATTATTATTATCATTATTATTGTCATTTTATTTTATGTTTCTGGACTCCAGGAAGAATAGTATGGAGTTAACCATACTAATGGAGATCTCAATAAACAAACATATGACGAATAATATATATTCTATGTGTTAGGGCTTGTCGTTGGAATATGGAAAAAATGGAAATCTAGCAGAGTGTGTTGGTTTGCACTGGGTTGTGGACTTCTGGTCGTAGCATCAGTTATCATCTCTGTCATCCTGGCAACTCATATCGCCCACGGTGGGAGGGTAAGCTGAGAAGTCTTGTTTACAGGGCCGAGTGCCAAGAAGTGTAGTCTTTTTTGTCAAGACTTTGCTTTGACTCACACACATATGGCATGATGTTATGATGTATGGGAAAGTGAGGAAAATGATCTCAGGCTGGTAAACGATAATTAAATCGTTTCTAAATAATAAAAATTTCTAAAAATAGGTAAATAATTTCATCAGGCTGGTAAACGAATGAATAGCAAAGTTCTTCGATCACAACCATTTATTTTTTCACGAGTCGATGTTTCGATGACCGTCTGTCATCTTCATCAGGACAATTCTTACTGGTTTACAGTGCACTGACGCTAGATGTTACTTGGTTACTATGTAACACCTTTAGTTCACTATGCACCAAGTAACATCTAGCGTCAGTGCACTGTAAACCAGTCAGAATTGCCCTGATGAAGATGACAGACGGTCATCGAAACGTCGGCTCGTGAAAAATAAATGGTTGTGATCAAAGTACTTTGCTATTCATTGAGGACAATGATGTTTGATATTTTTTCTGATGCACAAGAGATAGAGTATCAATTCATCAATCATCAGTGTTTGTAGAAATAGCACTTTAGCTTGTTTAATTTAAGTTAGGACACCGTATTCGAAGTAAATATTTTCTTCAATTAGTGTTTGATAAATACACACAATTTCAAAGGTTTTAGATTAGTTCCAAAAGCCAGGCACTCTCACGGACTACTTTTCACTTTTGACAATCTAAGAATGTAAAGTTGAGCTCCTGCTTGATTGTAGGTTGCGCTGCAGCAAAATGTCACGTCGATGGTTCTGAACCCGCTTCAGGGATTATCCAGCTCACCATGGCAGACCGCGTTCTACGGGGAAAACAACTCTGCATTTGACGACTTCAAAGTGGTCAACTCGACTCCGACGTTTTTGCCATCTACAAACAGCATTGTGACCACCGAGGCCTTATCAACAACCGTCACATCTCTGTCAACCACCGGTAAGCAATGTTACAATACCCCAACAAGGCCCCGCGGATACCCCAACATGAAATGCCAAAATGTAACAAAAATCCCCTCATTTTAATACCCGTCTTGAAAATAAAAGTCCCTAATACCCCCAACCCCATGTATTGTTGATGTGTATACTCTTCCTAAATTACATCCAAATGCTTATACTTTTTTTTTTCTCTTTTGGCTTTTTTTGTCTTGTGGTTTTTATACTAATTTTTGTCGTGTATTTTCCCACACAGACGTGAATGAGTTCAACGTGGTCGACACGACTCCGACGTATTTGCCTTCTACAAACAGCATTGTGACTGCCGAGGCCTTACCATCAACCGTTACATCTCTGTCAACCACAGGTAAGCAATGTTACTAATACCCCCATAAGATCCTGGACACCCCCAAATAAAAGATATAGATTGAAATCAAATTCTTCATAATTAATGAAGTTTATTGCAAATTCATGCCCGAGGGCTCAATGCAAGAACATGACAACAACAATAAACAGTAAAAATGATAATAAGTAATGCTAATGCTACTTTAGATATACATTTGTAGTTATTGTTGGGTTTGATTTCTTTTTATGTGCAGTGGAGTATGAAATGGCCGACGTTTTGCGAGATGTATGAATTGGGAGGTGTTAATAGAAATGCAGTACACATACACATGATTTTGTTTCACTTTGCAGCCCTACGATGTCAGACTGGATGGAGCGAATATAACAACCGCTGCTACAAGCTCATGAGAGACAAAACCTGCTGGTCTAAAGCGAAGAAACGATGTGCAAAACACGACGCACTTCTGGCCACCATCAAAGACGCGAACGAGAACAGCTTCATCGCAGATCTCATCGTGAATGGTGGGTGACATCTACAGTATTTATGAATCTTAAAACCCTTGTCCTGCAAAGCACAACAGTTGTTGTTCTGCACATACAGTACCTTCTATATTGCACACTGTATAGATACGATTTGGGGGTATTTCGCGTACAACGCATCACACCGCAGCGAAACGCAACGAATGCGGAAGTAACTATGCCACTGCAGAGCAAAAACATTTGGGGGTCTATGATCTAATTAAGTCATAAAATTTTGAAAAATGTTGTGCCAGGAATGCCAGCAGGACAAGGGTTAAAGACTTAGCAGGTAACAATTAAGGGGAATCGAAGGAGTAGTAAAATCATTCTTTATTCGAAAATGAAGAAATCCACATTGCTACTAACAGTGCCAGAAATGTAGTAATTATAGACAGAGTTATTAGTGCTTCTGTCAATGATCTAATGGACCACTAAAAAAGTGATGTCTCTTATGTTTACTTAAAAGGTAAAATGATCTAGCAAACCATCCTTTTTCTACTATAATTTGTCGTTGTAGAATACATTAAAATGATCTTAGAGAAATTATCCTCTACATGCACATCTCGTTTCAACCAACGGCAATCATGTTTTATCATGCATGTTGTCTTTCATCATTACATTCGACGTGAATATAAGTGTTGGACAATACTGTAAAAGACTATCCTCCATTATCATTCATTTGTCGCAGGGTTTTATACATAGAGATTCTGCTGATTTCCAAAAACAGTGTGTTTAAGAGATATGCATGACCCCATGTACACAGTTTAGGTGAACTAGAGTGCATTTTACATGTCACGTTGCATTTAAGATCTACATGTAATAAGTTAAAGATGCATTTTTTCAGGGTGACTGACCTGAGAGAATTATAGTAGCAAATGTTTGCCCTGACCATAGCAGTAGTCGCATGAGGTTGTTTTTAACATGCATATTTATGTCAGGCACCGGTGCAATAGCTCAATTGGCAGAGTGTTCGCTTTGTAACCGGGAGGTCGTGAGTTCAAACCCCGACCGGGTCATACCAAAGACTTTAAAAATGGTCCACACTTCTTTCTCTGCTTAGCACTCAGCACATATGAGAAAGAGTGTGGGAAGGTCAAACACACAGCACTACCAGCAGACTAGCCCCCCTGCTGTAGTGCCTTGCACAACTGTGTGTCGCCCAAGGGCTACAGAAATGGATATGGGCACTACCCCTATGCTCTTCAATAGAGTGGAACGGGACCTATAATTATGTAAGACTGTTTTCTTTGATTGTAGCACCTGAAGGTCGAGTTCTTCCGTCGGTCTGGATAGGACTTCATAAAGTTGATACCGGTGGTCTATTCAGCCCTGGACAATGGAAGTGGATAGATGGATCGGCTCTTGGCTACGAAAACTGGGCTCCGGGTCAGCCTAACTATTTGCAACCGTGTGGCACTGTGTACTCCAAGGTGTTTGCTTCTTTTTTGCTTCTTTTTTTAAGGTGGCTGAGCTTAGGGGAATAACTTTTTGTCAATTGCTATCTAAAAAGTATAGTGTAGTGCTACAATATACAGTATGATGCTCCAAGTAATGTCTACAAAAATTAATTACTTTGGTTGAATGTGTCAATACGAGGAAATTCACCTACACAAAATACAAAGAAATGTTTGAAATTAATAGTATCATTTTTTTTCCAACAGACCGGCAGGGCTCTTGGTGTAGGAAGAAAGAGGTATAGAGGACAGTGGGATGACACCATCTGCACCTGGCACTACCCCTACCTTTGCGAGAAACCAATGTAAACTAGAGAAGTAACATTTGTAAAGCAAATGTATAATGTTTACCTTCGGACATGGTCTGCCCTGTTAATTTTTACTCAAACACATTCACATACATGTACTACGAGTATATAGTGACAGGAGCAGAGCAAACCATGAAATTGTAACATTTTGTAACCAAACACCAGTCACCATGGTGGCAGACGTCAAGAAATCATGTTTTTGGTCAGGTCAGAGGTTAGTGTTTGGAACAGAAGAGGAGGAAGAAACTGAGTAAAAACAATATGTTTTCCTTCGGTAAATATAATAATATGTATATGTTACGACACAGCCCAATTGCTGACGGCACGTTTTTTTAAAGTCAATGGCGATGACCTGGCCTCTTATTTTTGAAGAAGATTGCATGTCGTAGACCAAACGAAAATTTTGTCTTTTGTTGAAACAAACGTAGATCTAGATCCATGCTAAGCTTGTACGAACCAACAAGGTTCATACATGGATTTTAATGTAAGTCCATGCCCTAAGGCAAATTGCAAATGGATATTGCGTATGTAAAACATATAGTCTCATTCATTCATTCATTCATTCATTCATTCATTCATTCATTCATTCATTCATTCATTCATTCATTCATTCATTCATTCATTCATTCAATCATTCATTCATTCATATAGAGACAGGCAATTAACATCGAGTGTAAACTTCTAAATTTGCCTGCATAGTTGACCTATTCTTTTTTCGAAGTACTGGAGCATGACAGGACCTACATGTGAACTATTTTTATCATGCAGTTGCTTGGATGATAAGAGTTCTGAAATTATAGAACAAGTTGGTAAAGTCCTAAAATGACAAGCTTAGGAGAAAGTTCTGAAACTAGTACCATATGTAGCATGAAAGTTCATCTGTGTTGGTACAAGTCATTATGAAATAAAGACTAAACTTTAACTTCCAACACTAGAAATAGAATTGGGACTTACCACAAATTTTCGGTTGACTCCATCAACCTTGTTCACGGAATGGACCCGTCTACTCTTGGAACGTGACGTCAGAGACACATGACCGTAGTACCATATGTATTTCGCTCGACTTCAGATGTAGGACATTACAGATTTTATACTAGAAAGGTATTTCATTTCGCATTATTCATGCATTCTTTTAGTATTCTTTTTGAATTCTTATGTAAATTTGCCCACAGGGACATGGTGCTAGGTGTCGTAGTATCGTGTATTCCGCAATTTAGTAAGTAAAATAAAAGCCACAAAAAAGAAGAGTGGCCTATACTTGCCTATACATACATATATATGCATGTGTGTGTGTGTGTGTGTGTGTGTGTGTGTGTGTGTGTGTGTGCGAAAGAGAGAAAATTACACTAAGATCCAAACCTAAAACGTGCAATATATATACGCACACACACACACACACACACACACACACACGCGCGCGCGCGCGCGCGCACACTCGCATGCAAATACACAGACACATAAACGGATGTAGAGAGAGAGACACAGAGAGAGAGAGAGAGAGAGAGAGAGAGAGAGAGATTACATTAACATCCAGACCTGAAACGTGCAATCATATGCATGTACGAAGACATGTATATTGAGAAATCGATGAGAACATTATACAGAACTTACATATATGTATAGTGTCCTTGGAGAAATAAAACCCTCTAAGCCACGAGTTGGACTTTGAAAGTGCAGTGCTTTGGAGGCCCTTTTCTCTGAATTCAGCTCAAGCGATCCTTATTTGGGCATTCTTCGAGAGCTAAGTTTCCTTAACAAACGTCACAAGAATGACATCAAATATCATCGGTGTGTGTGTCATAGTCTTTTTCTTAAGTCCTAGTCTTTTTCAGATTGACTGACAGGGGGTACAAAGCTGGTGACTTAGCGGTAGTACGACAAGCCGGCCTTTTGTGGCATTTATAAGTCGATAATGTACTGAGTGAGATGTAACGGTTGTTGATAAAGCCGCGGGCCCCGATTTTTAATTGCGCATTTCTTTTTTTTTTCTCCTTGAAACATACAGGGACAAGACGTGGTGGCGACACACTCAAGTGACACTTATATCCATGTCGCCACCAGACAATACGTAAGCAAGCAAGCAAATTCTAAATCTGCTTCCTATGAAAGAGACGCCCAGCAGGGCGCTTCAGCGTGCTCACGTCTTCTCCTTGGTTACCATGGCGATGTCACCTTCCTTTTGTAGAGACGTCCTCACGAGAACAAACACGACATATCACGACTTCTTCTCTCTGCCTTCATCAGGCCACAGCAAGTGATTTCTATGGATGACATGAGCGTGCGCGTTAGTTTTCGCCTGATTTTTAGAGCCTGAAACGCGTTATACAGGCGAATAGATTGTAACAAAGTCGCTATTTCTCTTGGAAATGGTCGGAAATCACTTTCTTGCAAAAAAAAAGAGAGAATTTTTTCCCTATGACGTTGGTGAACATGCCGAACATGAGCAAATATGCTGCAAATGACCATCTGTTTAGAGACCATCAGGGATCCAACAAACAGTGAGGCACAATGGTTCGCGTTTGATTGCAAATGTTGACACAGGCACAACTGTTCAATACAAGAATAAAAGATCTGTTTTGTTGTGGTATCATGTTTTGTCACCGCAATTCTTGTTTAGCCTATGTCCTCAAAATTTGAAAATGAAGGAATCTTGTTTTTCTTTGCCCGCCTAGTGTTTTTCGCCCTATCGCATTAGATCAGGACGCTGCGGATTATATCACCCATACTATTTACTTGCTGCGGCCTTAGGGTCCACAAAACGCTCCGGGTAGTCGTGAAGTTGTCCTCTGTTAAAGACACAACGATGGCGAGCCAGCTGCTGACGGTTGCTTGTCTGTTGGTACCGGTCTGTTTCATCCACGGTGCAGCCTTCTTATCCAGGCCAAAAGAGATGACGATTCGGTAAATCTAATTTCTCTTCCTTTCATAGCCAAAAGTCCTGTGTCTAACGGTAAAATGGTAGCGGTAACCAGTGGTAACTAAATAGTATAGCCTTCCAGCCAACGCAATGCGCATACGCAAATGTTGCAAACTGAGTGCTACGTACCATTTAGAGAGCTTGAAATGTAGTGTGAAAGTAAAGGAGAAATCGTTAGAGTAAATGGAGAGTTGATATTATGTGTACAGTGCCTTGAAAATTCGACATATTTTATGTGACTTGTGTAGGTGACATGCCAGTAGATTTTAGATAAAACTGAACTTCACTGAAAATAATGATGGTACTGATTTGGGTACTTCAGTACCTAAGACCAATGCTGGCAGATCATATACTATAGTTCATACTCCTGAACGTTTACTATAACGTAAAATGGCATGTAATCGAAAAAAAAGGTCTCGTGTTATCGTAAATCTTTATGCTTGTAGGTACGGGACGGGGGAACACCAGAGAACCGTGGTACGGCGGTACTGCGAGTGGGACGGGCACAAGGTCCTCCCCGGCAGTACCTGGACCACCGCCTGCTGCATGCACTGCACCTGTACAGACCGCGGCCTGGAGTGTTACACGTGAGTGCTGACATCATCTGGTTGACAAACCTATTATACTAGTAGCTCCCGAGTCCTACATCCTCTATTTGCGGAGAGGATGTAGGACTCAGGAGCTATAATAGGTTTGGTAACCAGGCTAGTGTTGACAGCCACTCAAAAGAGAACTTTGTTAGATATAAATTATGCAATTCATTTACTCAAATACATAATACAGTGCTACAATAGCATCCTGTGCTAAGATGAAACTTACATACTTTGAACCATTTTTTTTGTCTGGGTCTGTGTCCTCGCACGTATAAGATCCTTTTGATAGATTCCGTCGAAATTTAGCATGAGTATAAACCCATTAGCCTGGTTACCAAACCTATTATAGCTCCCGAGTCCTACATCCTCTCCGCAAAT